TATCACTAATGAAGTTGTTATTTATAATTTTACTACTACAGCTAGTAGTTATATTTAATATCACTAATGAAGTTGTTATTTATAATTTTACTACTACAGCTAGTAGTTACAGTTAATATCACTAATAAAGTTATTATAATGTTACTACTAAAGCTAATAGTTATAGTTAATATCGTTAATAAAGTTGTTAGTTATAATGTTACTAGTATAGTTATTAGTTACGGTTAATGTCACTAATAAAGTTGTTAGTTATAATGCTACTACTAGAGCTAGTAATTATAGTTTATTTGTGATATTAAGGTGTTCGCTTAGATGATACATAAATGTTAATTGTTTTTTCTTTGAAATAACCATTTTCGTACATACTCTGTGTATTGTAATGAGACCTGTCTGTCTGTTTGTTCAATTTCGTACAAAGCTACTTGAGGATTGTCTGTGCTTGTTGTGCCTAATTTAGAAATGATAGACTAGGGGGGAAGACAAGTACTCAACAGCACCCACCAGAACTGTTGGTGTGTTCCTTTACCAACGAATTGATCGTCACGTTATAATTCCCCCATGGCTGAAATGTAGAATTAAACAGCTCAGTGTCTCTCAGTTGATTTCTCGGAAAGAGTGGTCGAAACTTTCATAGATGTACAAAATTAAGCGTGGATGACAACAAGTAGATTTTGGTTATCACGAACCTACGTGAACGATACTGTAATATTTTTATATACGCTGATTATCAACATTCCTTACGCGTGACCGGATAGCGCTATTGTGTGACAACTGTTTCGAGTGTCTATTGGTTGGTTAGGAATGAGCAGTAATGGAAGTTTTACATGTACATATGATATCACGAGTTACCTGTGCACCTTGATCTTTTATAGGCATTGTTAGGTTTAAACACACAGCTATCAACGTTTGAACTAAAATATTTGAATTACTCATGTTTTGTTTTGAAAATAGCCTTAACTTGTTCAGGAAATTTTCTGTGATCATTAAACTCTAACCAGTAAAGTTCGGAATGGAAATAAGTTTGAGAAAAATCAGTAGATTTATGTGTGATTTGGCGCTGCAAAAGGGCGTTTAAGCTATATAATCTTGTTTGTCGTTTTAAGTTGCTTTTTTCGATGTAATTCATTAGAATAAAATTGTATATTTCATTTAATTAATTTACATATTAACATCGATACTTTTATTTGTAATATATTAGGTTAAAGGTGAATAGTCGTTATTCAACAATGCATAAACAAGGCTTTCCCCTAGTTTGCATGTTCAAAATTAGGGGCGTCTTTGCACGCACAGTCCTCTTGAAGCCTTTCGCGAACATTCTAAAAAAACAACAAATTACGTTTACCTAGCTTATGTTAGTTTCGCCATCTGTTATCTGAAGGTAGAGTAAGACTTATCATCCAATTTAGTTTTGTTATTACTGGTAGTCTTGGCTTTGTACCGAACGCTAATGTTATTTTAATGTTCAAGTTATTTTTCAGCGTGAAAGAAAAATCTTAAAGTATTATTTTCAAGGATATTTTTCAAATAAATCTTTTAAATTACATGATGAGGTCGGCATTGTTGTTTTACCGCTGAATAATGGTTTTATTCACATTACATGATGAGGTCGGCATTGTTGTTTTACCGCTGAATAATGGTTTTATTTACATTACATGATGAGGTCGGCATTGTTTTTACCGCTGAATAATGGTTTTTCAACGAAAAAAATCATAAAAACCGTCACTTTTTACTCTAAAAAACTTTTTATCACCTTTTTGTGCTTGGATAAAACTTTACTAATTTGTTTAAGATTTCATTACTTTTGCAAATGGAAAAACTTAAAGTTAGAGAGGAATAAGTGAAAAAGCAGTTGTGTTTGCTCAATATTAACAATGATTGTTACTGAACTTATATTCATAAAAGGTTTACCTGACGGTTCAACGGTAAGCTCGAGGCTTGCAACGAAAAAATAGGGTTCGATCCCTGCATTTGGTAAATAGGCCATTCCAAAGCTTTACGCTAAAAAAAATTAAAAGTGTTAAAAACGATAGTACTATAATGCCATCTTTTGACAAGTTATACATCTCATTATACATCTTATTACACATCTCATTATTAGGAACGCACAAAAATGCAATGTCTTTTCATCACTCGAGAACAAAGTTATTAATATTATCCAATAACTATTTTCCTTCTGTCCTGTTTAGTTCACAAACATCTCCAAAATATAAACAAAATATTTTGAAAAGATAAAGTAAAACTTGTATCAGTCACATTTATAGTACTTCACTCATTCAGGACTCCCGATTGGACAGTAGTAATTTTAGGGACTTAAAACGCTAAAGTTCAGGATTCAATTCCCCGCGGTAGATGCAGCTGATAGTCCATTGTGGCTTTACTCTAAAACAACAAACAAATCCCCAATTCAAATAAATTATAGCATGTAAAATTTATATAATAACTCGGTAATAGATAACTCGATTGTTGAAGACAAATTAATTTAGCAGGGATTAATTATTACTGCTTGTAATAATTCACCTCATGATTTATAACACTATATCTTTTGACTGTGTTTTCTGATTTGTAACGTTCCTCTCTGAAGTATACAATTAATAATGCAAATTGCCACTCCTTGCTAATCGAAGGTTTACTCCTTATTAATCTTCTATAATAGGAACAAGGACTAGGAGGGTTTGTTCATGCTCCACCTCCTTGATGGTACCGACACTTCCACCACCACCAGGCCACATCCCTCTCTCCTTTCTGACATCGCACGCGCAGTATACACTTAATGAAACGCATTATTTGTTGGTTGAATTTCGCGTAAAGTTACTCAAGGGCTGTCTTTGTTAATCGTCATTAATTTAGAAATGATAGTGTAGAGGGAAGGCAGCTAGTAAACTCCAACCACCGCCATCTCTTGTGCTATTCTAATCGAATAGTGGGATTGACCGTATAATTATACTGTTAAGTTTCTGCTTCCTTGATGACGGCTTCTGGACAAAAATTAGATCACTACCCGTCTTTTCGACTGTTGATTAGACCACTAACTGTCTGGTGCTGACTCATACATATAGTCGCCGAGTTTATGTTCAAAAATTTATTTATGGAGTCAGGCCCACAAGTTACCAAATGTTACTGACGAAATATGTGAATTCGTTATTAATTAATATTAATTTGCGGATTTGACTTAGCATACTTTTTAACAAGTAATCCGGAAAACAGCCTTGCTCACTGTTAGAACACGTTATAATAACTAGACCACTGCCAGTCTGTTTAACTGATGACGACTTTTGAACTATATAATTAGACCACTACCTATCTGACTGATTGTTTGTTGATTTTTACACAAAGCTACTCAAGAGCTATCTTCACTAATTTAAAAATGATACACTAGAGCAGTGTTTCCCAACCGCCGGGGAGCGACCCAGTACCGGGGCTCGGATCATTATTTGCCGGGGCGCGAAATGTTGTACGAATATGTAGTTCCCGGGGGTGGTAAAATATTCGAAACTAGAAACTGGAAACGAAGGCAGCTGAGTCTACATCACCCACCGCCAGTTCTTGGAATACTATTTTTGCCAACGAAAAGTGGGATTGGCCGCCACTTTATAACGTTCTCACGGCTGAAAGGGCTAGCAAATTCAGTGACGACATTCGAAGTTGCTGCAACCTCCTGAAATTCTGCTAACAAAGAGGTGCACGCGATGTTGAACAAATTATACGAAAATAAGGTTTGTTTCAAATGGATATCTTTTGATGCAAGAACAACATGCACTGATTCTTCTCCATAATTGAAATATATATATTATCAGATTTATTAGTAATGTATAACTCTGTTCTGTATTTATTCTAAAACTTATTAACATAAAAAGTATACTTCATAGGCGGCGGAACATTCGAACTTAGAGAGGAGAAGCACCAATGACTGTGAGCGCCATATTTGCTACGTTAACCGTAGTCAGTGGGTTAAAATTGAAATAGCGATTTACTGTGATAGTTATATAGAAATCTTTATTCCACATTCACATGGATACTTTACTACCGGATTAAGATTGGAGACACGTGTCCCCAGTATCCATCAGGTTTTGCCGCCTATGATATATTCTTAAATAGTTTCGAACACTTCTTAAGTATTATTTAAGAATTGAATAAATTCAGAATTTCAA